AATCCTATCATGGGACATTGGAATAAATATATAATTTCTGAGTTGCATTCTACCTGTCATATCTTCACAAATGACAATCATTCTTTTTCTGCTTTAAGATACTTACTAGGATGCAAACTTAATAAACGTTCAAAGTATTTTAAATTGTTAACCCAAATAGATTAGGCGAAAGTCATGTTTCCATGTTTTAGAATAGCGCAGTTGGTAGCATACTGGACTGTGGACCCGAAGATGCCAGGATCAAATCTCATCATAATCAGAATTTTCGGACAAAGTTTTTAATGAATTTCATTCCAGGTGTATATTTAAACAACAAATTCGTGTAAACAAAAAACTTCTAGAATGAATTAAAATTTCCTTTCGTTTAAAAGAATTTTTTTTTGTGGCAATAAGATCCTATTGAAATGTTCAATAGGTTTACCCTTAATTTTATAGGAAATTCTGAAACAACAATATTCCCATTGAATTATATCAAATCCTATTGAAACATCGAAAAGAATTCGCCTCTTTTCAATGAGGAAATTGTAATCTCACAAGTCCTATAAAATCCACTAAAATCCTATTGAAAAATCGAATAGGATTCTGCATTATTCTATAGGAAATTCTGAAACAACAATATTCCCATTGAATTATATCAAATCCTATTGAAACATCGAAAAGAATTCGCCTCTTTTCAATGAGGAAATTGTAATCTCACAAGTCCTATAAAATCCACTAAAATCCTATTGAAAAATCGAATAGGATTCTGCATTATTCTATAGGAAATTCTGAGACAACAATATTCCCATTGAATAGTATCAAATCCTATTAGGAAGTTGAATAGGATTCAAGCAATTTCTATAGAAAAAACAAAAACGTTCAATAGAAAATTTCCGATGCAATTTTCCTATTGAACTCCCCTCTCCCAAGAGGATTGTTTAAGCAGGGTTATCACATCTCTATTGAAAGATTCAGCAGGAATCTTCACGAAATTTATTTAGAATTTCTGCTGCCAGAACCACTTGATTCAATTCTAATAAACTTCGATTAAAATGTTGATACAATGCTGTGTCTAATGTTGGGCATACGTTTACTTCTCTAAGCAACAATACCAATTTATATTTTCTTTTAGGATTCAACAGCTTCAGCCTCTTAATTTTCATTCGACACTGGTTTAGGATCACCTCGTGAAACTAGCTCTCTACATCTCACTTTATATTAGATCAACTATTTTCATTCTAATTATTAAAGTCCAATTCAATTTTATAATAAATAATTTTAATTGATTTGAATCGAAATTTCTCTTATTTTTTTTTGTTCGTTTTATTAGTTAAATTTTGAACATATTAAACATTTTTTGAATAGGCTTTATAAAACGTGCGCACAAATCAATTTTTGTGATATTCCCGAGTAGAATTTATTTTAGGTATGCCTAAATACCTATTAAGCCTTAATTAGGAATTGAATGGGTTGCCGTAAATAAGGCATTTCCAACCTATGCCTGATCAATTTGTTTTTAGGATGAAATAAGATTTTCTTAATTTCGCACTACCTTTTCAATTACAACCTTATAAACTTAACTGAAACGATGTTTTAGTTCGTCATTTGTTAGGAAATGTTTATCAGGTCCGCATTAGGCTAACAAAAATTACATCTAAATTAGGTACATATTACATTAGCCTCATTAAAATGTTCAAAGAACGAATCAAAAAGTTTTAAGGATGAATTCAAAACAAATTTGTTACAATAAAGACGATCTAAATTATATTAAGTATTTTCTTTAAATTCCAATAACAAAGTATTTTAATAATTTAAATATTTTCAGATATCCTTTTTTTTTAAAATAATATTTAATTGTTTTTATCAAAGCCTAACTGGATTACGTTGACTTGAAGTATATTGTAGTTTCAGAAAAAATAAATAATTTAGAAGTATAAAAATATTTAAACCATCAAAATTATTTATTATTGAGATTAGAAGTGAATAATGATTTATAGAAATCTTTTAAAAAATTATACATATGGATTCGTTCATATTAATATAATAGTAATAATTTTTTAATTGAATAGCTGAGCGGGTAAAGGCACTGGTCTCAGATGCGAGCGAGGTAACGATCGTAGGTTCAAATCCTCCACGAAACAAATTTCAGTATATGTATTTTCGAGGACATTGAATTAAAATACGTTTAATAATTAGTATTTCAACAATATAAAATCATAAAAAATGAGATAATCGAACAATTCAGTTTTTATATATAACTTGTTTTAATTAAGCTTTTTTTACTCGGTCTCAATAGAGAATAGCGTTACATTCCCAATGTGGGCCTAATGTGGTATCCTATTTGACACTAGAGCATCCCTAGAGCACTAATATTTAGTTTTTGAGTTACAGATTTTTTGTTATGGATTTTTTTGAAAAAAAAGAATAGTTTCTTTGGCATCGATTTTCCGCAGCGCTGCAACAGCTGTTTTCGATTACACAATAAATAATGACTTAAGAATTTAATGTACAATTATACAACTACCAAACATTATTTATAACATTTATAGAAGGACAGGATTTCGTAAAGGGCAGTCTTGTATTGATAACTTGGCCAATTTTTCTCTATTTATAGAAGACGGGTTTTTTAACCGGAGGGAAACTCTCGGGGCCTTTGTTGATGTGCAGGGTGCATTTGACAATGTCCAATGCAACCTATTCTTAGATAAGCTGGCTAGTGTTGGTTGCTCCAAACAGGTGTTAGAGTTCATCAAGTTTATTATGTATAACAGAGAAGTCTCCACGGAGATCCTTGTGGAAAGAACCATAGTTGTAAATAAGGGTGTACCACAAGGCGGGGTCCTCAGTCCCCTTCTTTACATCATATATGTTGCTAATATCACAGTCAATCTTCCCAAAAGCGTGACAGTTTCGCAGTTCGCTGACGACGTGGCTGTATACTGCCAAAATAAATCTCTACAAAGGTCAATAAACTTAATCACTAAATCAATCAAAACAATTAGAGAAAACCTAGCTAATATAGGATTAGAATTATCCTCTAAGAAAACAAAACTAGTACACTTCAATAGAAAGCAAATTACTCCAGAGTCTATAGAAATTAAAATTGATGACTATACTATAAAATCGTGTGAACAAGCTCGATGGCTTGGGATAAATTTTGATTATAAACTAACTTTCAGTGCACACACAAATCTAGTTCAAAGTGAATGTCTTAAAGTACTCAATATTATATATTTCTTAAGGGGCACATGGTGGGGCTGTGGCCCTGAAACGTGAACTATTTTCTATTAAAGCTTTGTTCGGTCGTTAATAGATTATGGGAGCTTTATATATTACCCTATTACGAAACTACTAACAGAAAAGTTGGAAAAAATACAGTACAAATTCGTCAGAGCGGCTCTTGGGTATCGCGTTACCACTCCTCTCAATATTCTTTTAGGAGAATCCAAGCTACCTACGATACGCCACCGCGCAGAATACCTTGGCAATAATTACATAGTCAAAATTCTCACTCTAACAAATAACGATAACAATATAAAATTTTTTTGGGTCCCATCACATAATGGAATCGGAGGAAATGAAAATGCAGACGACTTGGCTAAAATAGCCACCAGATCCCCTCCAAGCCATCCCAACTCTCTGCCCTTTACGGACCTTCGTGAAACTCTAAAACAAAAATGTAGCTCAGATACAATGACATTCTTAATTGATGAAAGTGAAGAGGCAGGTAAAGAATTTTTCAAATTGTACTTTAGAAAAAATAAAACAAAACCTTGGTACTATAAAACCAATCTCACACGAGAAACAATCACAACTGTTAATCGACTCAGAGCCAACCACAATAGCTTAGGGGAATCTCTTCACCGACTAAATTTAATAGAATCTCCAAGATATAAGTGCGGATACCACAGCCAAGATCCCGATCATGTGCTGTGGTACTGCCCGCTGTACATAAAGGAGAGACACTTTCTAACTGAAAAAATAAAAAAATAAAAATTAAATCCCCATGATAAAGTGGAAAATTTTTTAAAGAAGCCAAACGTACCTGGCTGTGTATTAATTTGTAAATTTTTCAATAAGATAGGTTTGTCAATCTGATAGTATTGTAATTATAAACATAAGTTTAATGCGCTAAATCCTTGTAAATATTACAATATTGTACTGTATTACTTGATCACGCCAAATAACTCTTCACACGAAGAAGTTGCGGCTTTGATGAAAAAAAAATCTTTGTTTTCCGATGTGTATACTACTTTTCTAAATACTCCTTAATATTTTTCACGTGAAAAAAACAAATAAAAAATGCACAGTTTGACGAGAAAAACTTGCAGTGATTCGGATCTTAGCTACTAGATGTGTAACTTAATGAATAATAAATTACTATACACATTTATATTACCTACATAATTAGTTTTTATATATATAATGTGTTTTATTAAATTCTAGTTAATTTATGTCTATTAATAAAAAGTAAATAAACACGGTTTGATTTCGGTTAAGAGTTTTTTTGTTGCAACCATTGCTTTATATTTTTTTTTTTAAGAAACAAAAGGTTTCATTACGTTTAAGGATTGTTCAAATGTTTTATATCAATTAACTAACCATTTTTTATCGCACATTGTGACTGTTGTTTGAAAGTTAATAATAAGTTACCTCAAATCCATCAAGATTATTCATTGATTGAATTATTTTCGGAGAAACAATAAAATTGCATTAACTGTATGTTTCAATTGTCTTAATAATGATTCAAAAATCATATACAATTTTTTCCTGACAATAATAATTATAATAAAATTTTTTTAAATTGCAGACTTAGTATTATCGACTTCTGCCGTCTAGAGTTTAGTCCATAAGATAGTTTTATATTTTTTCAAGTGCATACACTGTAAAAAAATCCAACATAAAAGAACTCAGATTTTTAAGAATCTGATAGATGAGAATTTAAGAAAATTGTTCGTAGTATACTTTTAATTTCATTATAAGAAAAAATTATTCTTTTAATTAAAATTGATAATAATGGAGAGACAACTTTTAATTGTTAAAAAATATTTATAAACATTATAAAATAGAATATGTTTCACAATAAATTATGAGTTTTCATTATGTTAAATCTATTATTTGGTCATTCATGTAAAATCCTTCATTTATTGATTTCATATTCAATCATAGATGTGTATAATAGTACGTTGAGTGCTCATTGGCTAAAGAAAAAATAAACGTCGAAGTATCAACAAACTTATAACTGATAATAAAAATATAATAAGAAGAGTTCCAGATATATTGTTTAATGAAAGCGAATTTTCTTGTTGATTCAAGGTATTTTCTTGTGTATAATTGTCAAGAAGTTGTGAATTAACTAATCGTTGTATGGAATTTTCATTAAAAGTGTGGCTAGTAGAAGATCTTGGTACCATATTAACTGAGCGTGATACGTTAGATGCCTACAAAACATCCAAACCATTATTTCACATATATATCATTATTTGGGATGTACTAATAGATTATTACTTACATTGAATGCATTTGGAGAGTTCAAGATCGGTTTATCAGTTTCTTTACTATTGAAGAATTTATCTTCTCTTAACAAATTTATAATTTTTCCGCAAATTTCACATTCCCATTTCTGAGACCTATAAATATCTGTAGTATTAATATTTATGTCACATAGAGAATTAGGATTAAAATTCTGCAGACTAAAATTATTTACTTTTTTGCAAGTTTTTGTCTCTCTTCAACACTATAATTTAATGAACCTATTGTATCGTTACCAGGAGTTGGCATGAATGCAATCAAGGCTAACAATGCTGTTCGAATACTCCATGATGGTTGCCAAGTTTCTGGATGATGGCCAGATATACTCAAGCAAATTTTTTTATGAATTTCAAATCGGCCATTTGGCTGAAATTATAAAATAACAATAACGAATTACAGATACATAAATTTTCAATATTTGAAATTAATTACTGTAAGAAGAACAATATTTGGAGGTTTCATAGGGTATTCAGGAGGTAAAATAATCCGTCCATGATAAATGCCTCCATCAAATTCAGATGATGGTGGGCCACGAACAGTAAAATGCCACTCAAAAAGATTATCTTCTAAAGGACAAGCATGATATTCTTCTGTTGCTTCTGCCAATTCGTGAGCTTCTCGCATAAGCCTTTTTACAGCTATAGTTTAACAAATTTAACAATTTATTATTTTTATACTTTTATAACCTTTCATTTTATGTACTCTACTGTTAAACTTCCTACCAGGACTTTTAGTGTTGTATTTTCCTTCAAATGACATTTTTATTAAGCTTAAATTTGAATAATTTATTGAAAATATACAATACACTCCACACACCGAATTTAAAAAAAAAATAATCAAATTAGATCGAGTTCCACCACCTAACTGTTTTCAGTTGTCTTTTATAAAATCAACCAGAATAGAAATAATACGCATAAGGCCAGTTTCACCATTATGTTATGATAACTGTGGGTGTTTTCCACATTTACGAAACTCAAGCGCAATTGTACAGTACCGGACATAAATGCTGTGTGATTTTCTATAGGACAGTATAGGGAAATTGCATGTATAACCTTCAAAAAATTAAACACCATTTATGTCCGGTACTGTATTATTTTTTTATGTTTATAATCACGGGAAATAATTAATTGAATTTAATCACGGTAAAAATAATTAATTGAATTGACATCTAGAGGCATAGAGATATTACGCATATATATATAGAGGGTGCTTTCCATTTAGGAACACAACGAGGCACTGTGTTACAATGGCTCAGTTTCCACCGAAGCCGAGTTGAAAAAAAATTGAGACGAGATGAAAGCATTCCCACCGGAGGCGAACTGCGTTTTTAAGCGTTTCCACCAGATGGTCGAGTAGAGGCGAGTTCAAAATTCCGAAAACTTTCATAACTACACATATTTTCGATGTTGGAAATGGTAAAAAACGCACACAACTCAACCATTCCAAGAAAGAAGGTAGAGTTGGAATGAAAATATACCGTTTCCACCGGAATCGAATGTTGGCGGGAGAAAAAAGAAACCTGTTTTTCAAATCTTGTAGAATCACGGCCTCAAAAAAAAATCACTCAGATAATCCACTAGATGGCAGAAATATGGCATGATTATAAACGAACAAAATGACTACAAATTACAAACTAAAAAATAAATGTACCCAAAATTGATATTTTTTGTATTTCTCCTTAAAACAATGAACATATGTAATAAAATCTTAGTTCAATATGTTGAAAACAGCATTAGGGTGAAATAAAGGCGAAAATTCACTCGGTTCAACATCACAGATCAAATGTAAATATTTGCAACCTTCGCCTAGACCTAACTGATGCTCAACGTCGTGGCTACAGTTTTTAATAATCTTTTTTATTATCAACGCAGTCTGATAGTTGTCATTATTTGGAGATATTTAGTAGAGCATTAAGGAGAGTTGGGGACAATAATTAACCCGGTCTACCATGACGAACAATTAAAAAAAAATTCTCAAGCTACGCGACGATATTACTGATGCTCAACGTCGTGGCTACAGTCTTTAATAATCATTTTTATTCTCAATGCAGTCTAATAGGCGTTTAATTGTTCAAACATATTCAGTAGACCATTAAGGAGAGTTTGGGACAATAATTAATTCGGTCCACCATTATAGACAAATATAAAAAAATACCCAAGCTTTGCGTAGATCTAACTAATGCCGAACGTCGTAGCTACCGTATTGATTATTTTTGTTATCAACACCGTCTGATAGTTGTTGATAATTCATTTTGCAATATTCAGTAGAGCACGAAGAAGCGTAAATAAATCATTTGAAAGCTTGCCTATTAAGTATAGTTTCATGATGGAAAGACGCTGCAACATCCCGTTTCTTTTAATCGGTGATCCTGCATATCCACTGCTTCTATGACTAATAAAGGGATACACGCAACAACGAAGGTTAACGACCGCGGAATTGACGTTTAGTTCATAGTTAAGTGGTGCAAGAGTCTCACGAGTATATTAATATGTTGGATTTAATTAAAAATATAAATAAAAGAGAATGAATTAATAAATGTATGTAAAAATAACTATTTTAAGTAGAAACGGACAATAAAAGATTTTATTTCGTTACAAACAGTGCATTGAGAAATTAATTATTTTTCGGTAATAAATCACGTCATTTACTCTTCTTTTGTTTCAGAAGGAGACACAGTCTGAAGCCTACAGCCTATGTTAGCTCGCTTATAAAGAGACTTGAAATTTTTCAGAAGCTATATAAAGTATATTATGGTTATTTTACATATTTTGTATTGATTTGTCATACTTAAATTATGAGGTTAATTATTATTCTTATTAGTGACTGCAAGCAAACCCCTGAAAATTGTACTATAAACTGTATAGCAAAACGTTCAGTAATTTAAAGCGGATCTCAAGACAGTACAAATTTTTTAAAGGCTATGAAAAGTATACTTGATGATGGACGTTATATTAGCTTGCTTATTAAGACAGGTAAAAATATTCAGAACCTATGGAAAGTTAATTATCAACATCTGACTCATTTTGTATTAATTTTTCATGATTGAATAAGAATTCGGTCAATTTTTGTTCTTACTAGTGACTGCAAACCATCAAGAATTTTCCTACAAATTCTACAGAAACACGTTTAGTGCATTAGGGCAATTTTATATACCAACAATATGAAAGTGGGCAGGTCAATGTCAGGCATGGATGGAAACAATATTCAAGGTCATAATCCAACAACCTTGGAGTGCGTCAGGCAAATATTCTATGGAAACTTTTGTTTGCTGAGGCGTGAGGAGAGTGAAGAATGCACTTCCTTAGATAAAATTTATGACGGATTGTCTAGCATTCGGATAACATAGTACTGTGAACAAATAGTGTCTAGATGAGTATTTATCATTAAATACTGTAGCTACGACGTTTGACTCTAGTTAAATCAACGCAAAGCTTGAGAATATTAACACGACCTGATGGCCGTCAGCTGATTGTTGAGGTACATTAAATCAAATAGCAGAAAAGTTAAAAATGATAATTTACTCAGTTCACCATCACCGACCAATGAAAAAATATTCTCAAGCTTCGAGTAGATCCAACTAATGCTGAACGTCGTGGCTACGGTATATAATGATCATTTACACCATTAACGCAGTCCAATAGTCGTTATCCAATTGTTCAGTAATATCCAGTCGAGCATTAAAAAGAGTTAGGGACAATAATTAACTCGGTTCACCATCACAGACAAATATAAAAAAATACCAAAGCGTTGCGCAAATCTAAGTAATGCCGAACGTCGTAGCTACAGTCTTTAATAATTATTTCTATTATTAGTGCATATTGATATCCGTGAATTAATCGTTTAAAAATATTTAAAAGAAGAGTTGGAACGAAAAGTTAGTTCAGGAACCTTCCGCGAATGTCAAGGATAGTAATTAAGGTAGTTTAATATTAAGAACTTATTTTTTTTTTTTTAATACAATTTGACTTGCCTTGATTTATTTTTACTTTACAAGTTATCGGCAGTGTGAAAACATTATTTTTAAGACAATGCAATTTTTTCAATGATAAAAATTTATTGTGATCTTATTATTTCGCTACTGTTCACATACAAATGTTGATGATTTTCTCCAATGTGTTCATATGCCACTTGGTGGAGGCTTTTATTCTTGCTGCGGTGACCAATCGACACTCGTTGATGGCGGTTGACTCTGTTGTTGTGACCATTGCCTACTCAATAACGGTTGTTGTTCTTGTTGGGGAGACCATTGCGCCCTCGATGAAAACAGTTATTGGCTAAGATACCTTTCGGAGAGTTACTGTTATTTGCATCAAAACTATCGCTTATAGTTGATGGTGTCTCTGTACGCTTGGTTGAGTTTATAGCTATAAAATAAACAGGATAGTATTAGAGAAATATTCAATTATACGTAAAATATTTTTCTAATAATTTTTATTAAAAATATGTATACTTACGTTTCGTATATTCTGCATTTAATGAATCGATTCCCTCTGACCCAAAGATTTCATCTAATTTTTCGAAGTTTTTCAACTGCTTTTTAACATCAGGATATGCTCCGCTGGTGTTAAGTTGTCGTTTTACAATGAAATACTCTTCTCTAAAAAATAAGATTCATTTTTTTGTGGAATTTCAACATTTCAAATAAATTTCTTGACCACAATTTCTTTAAAAAAACAATAATTAATACATTAACCAAGTAAATTTAATATGTTTCTACTTACTTGTTTGAGACTTGTATTTATTTCGTACTTGGTCGAAATTTCTATTATAGCCGATGTTTTCCAGAGCTTCTGCTACTGTTTTGAAAACATCACTCGAGCGATATTTTTTGCTGTCTAACATTTCAACAATTTTTAATTCGGATATTACATTTAATAAACAGGTAACTTCGTCGTCGCTCCAAATATCTCTTTTCTTCTTTAAAATAATTGTATTCGACGGATTATTTTCAATATTTGCTACGTCGATGTCAGAATCAGAAGATTCAAGACACTCCAAATTACAGTATTCATCAGACACTTTAAAAAACAACACTGATTTTCACAAATTTTTTTGTAAATTGAAAATCCAAGGAATTGCAGTGTGAATTTATAGTAGCCTATCCGCATTACCAGAAATGTCGTTACTATGGGAACAGGGGCGTAGCTTGTTGATGTGTCGAAACGAATAGGACAACGAGAAAGTGTTTTGAATAGAAAAGTAGGAGTTTCAAGAAATTAAAGATGTTAAATATTCATTGATAGCTGAAAATGACAGAAATCCTCAAATAAAACAGAAAATAGATATTAAAATTTTTATATATGCTATCCTAGTGTTCTGATAATTTATAGAACTTAATTCACATTGCTACGTTAATATCGAAAGACGTCACAAATAAATCTCAACTTTAATTTAGACTTAATAATTGCTCATTTTATAGCATTTATTCCATATTAGACAAAATTTGAAAAAAAATTTCTTGTCTGACCAATCATTGAAAATTTTTCACAATTATGTATCTTACAATTCTCTGAATTTTTATTAACGAAAAATATATTCCAAGTTGACAATTATAATTCTTTAATATCATACTACGCATGTCATAGCAGGAAATTTTACATTCATGCCCGTATACTTTGTGGAAAATTCACGACTGTTTGTCTGACCAATAATAAATAATTAATTTTCATTATCGTAATATACATTTTGAAATTTGCGAAATAATTCATTACACCTTTTCTCAATCTTTTTATTAATTGGAATGTTCGCTATAGCAAAGACTTTTCATTTATTTTTACTACTTTTGACATTTTATAAATTTACTGTTTTGCTGTGAGTTTCAATAAATTTATAGATACAAATAATACATCCACTTTCAATATAATTGAAGGAGCTTAAAACGATAAAAACTAAAAGCTAAAAAAGTTTAAAATTTTTAGCACACTGGAATTTCATTATTGGAAGAGGCACGGTTGCCTACCTCTCATCTAGACACTATTTGTTCACAGTACTATGTTACCCGAATGCTAGACAATCCGTCATAAATTTTATCTAAGGAAGTGCATTCTTCACTCTCCTCACGCCTCAGCAAACAAAAGTTTCCATAGAATATTTGCCTGACGCACTCCAAGGTTGTTGGATTATGACCTTGAATATTGTTTCCATCCATGCCTGACATTGACCTGCCCACTTTCATATTGTTGGTATATAAAATTGCCCTAATGCACTAAACGTGTTTCTGTAGAATTTGTAGGAAAATTCTTGATGGTTTGCAGTCACTAGTAAGAACAAAAATTGACCGAATTCTTATTCAATCATGAAAAATTAATAAAAAATGAGTTAAATGTTTGAAATTGCTTTTTTACAGCTGCTGAAAATTTTCAATTGTCTTAAAAAATGTCTTGAGATGCTGATGTATCTTTCTTTAGAAAAAAAAAGCTCAAATATTGTATTATGAACAGTATGCAGTTCAGTATCACTCAATTTTCAAGGGTTTGTAGTCAATAACAAAGCCCTAAAATAAATTTAATTATTATATAATTATAAAAAATTTATACAAAATAAGAGAAATTTTCATAATTAACTTTTTGTAGCTTCTGAATATTTCCAACTGTCTTGAGAAGTGACTTGAGGTACTGAGCATGTTCCTGTAGAATTGATAGTCCAGTTTTAAGTAGTTTGCAGTCACTAGAAGCGTTACAAATTGGGAGCGTGACATCCGTCCCCAATAAGATGTCAGTCAAAGGCATTTTTACAATCTTTTAAATTTGAATCTTTAAATGTATAATCTTACTGATTGTTAATCAAATTCTATGATGCCCAGATTTTTTATCTAATGATCATTTTAAAAATATGCTTTATTCTTTTAATCTTTTAAAATTGGTTTTTTTTATTTTCAATCATTTAATATTCAATCAAATTATAACAATTTTTCTTTTTTTAATGTTTATCATTTCGTTGAACAGTCAACTTAAGAAATTAGGACTGGTAAGTTATCTTGCGTCGGTATAGTAGAAAAAAAAATTCAACTAGTGTCACTGTTTTCTAATAGATGACAGTAATTACACTGTTTTCAATCAAAAATTAAAAATACTTATACAAAAAAAAGTCTTCTTTCTGGCTCATGTAATGTCATGTAATTCCCACTACATAAATAAGTATATTTAGGCTTATAATCTAATGATAATAACATTTTTATCTTAATGTTAGCGTAATAACGTAATCCAAGTGAAAAAAATTTGAAAACTGAATTATTAAAAAGTTGAAAAACTTCAAAAATAATGTCTGTCAGTATTATTCTCTTCTTTAATAAACATAAACGATTTTCGTGCAACGAAGAAAAAAAGTTTTATTACTTAAGTTTTTATAAAAATAAATCAGTATTTTTAATGAATACCTTAATTTAACTGAATTTAAATATAAATATAATATGAATATAAATTTGTTAATAAATTTTAATATAAATCACTACTCAATTCAATTATTTTAAAATAAAATAATCAGGGTCAATTAAAGAATTCAAAATCATTCCTGAAGTTATAAGTATAACTTTTATTTATATTCAAGAAAATTTACATTTGCTGATATCTCTTTAACTTTGGTTTTCTACACTTCCAAATATGAGCCACGTTGTCTCAGCTCCCGCCGAATATTTGTGCGTTCAACTACTGCCTACAAATATTCTGACAATGTCATCCTATATATAAATTGATATTATAACAAATTATTTAAATTTAATATAAAATGATTGAATAAATTAACAAATTATATAAGTACCTTCCATTTCTCGAGGACTCTTGTAAATTATTAATGTACAAGTCAATTGTATGTTGAATTGCTCGAGAATGATTTTGTCGTGTAGTTTCATTCATTATTCTACAATATTCAATGTCACTGTCACAAATTATGTTTATTAATCGATCTGAAAAATGAAATTTAATTCAATACAGAATTATGAATATGTATATATTAAATGTGTTTTAATATTTACCCAAAAAATTACTTTTTTGTGTTAAAACTAATTGTCGTGTGAACTAAAGTGAGTAATAATAAAAATTTAATAGGATCTTGATTTTATTTCTCTTTAATATATAATTTATTTGTGTGTAAATTTATTTTGTTTTTTAAAAAATATGTCATTAATGAAAAAAGAGTTTGAAATAAAAATTATATTGAAAAAAAACCTGTTTAAAAAATTTCATTACACAATGGAAGAAACTAACTTTATTAGAAAAGTTAAACTAAGCGTAAATTAATGATACAAATAATATATTTTATTTTATTTATAATTACGATAATACTAGAAGACTGTCTTACTGATAGTCAATTAAAACACAAACTAACTGAAGAAATAGCAAGTAATTCAGTAACTTAAATGATTGATGAAACAAAAAAAGGAAATGTATTGAAGAAAAATTCAATTTAAAAGTAAAGTATTTTTTTATTATTTTGAATTGTGTAATTGATATTGTAAAGAAATTAACTCAATATAACTTGATGTGGTATATCTCTAACGATGAAAAATATCGATATAAGTAATTGGTTTTGAAGAAAATTATGCTCCATTTCAAGAAGATCAATCTAATATTTATTTTTGGTAAGTAAAGTTGCTATTAAACAATTCAAAATTTAAAGTCATATAAGTATTTTTAATTTTTGATTGAAAACAGTGTAATTACTGTCATCTATTAGAAAACAGTGACACTAGTTGAATTTTTTTTTCTACTATACCGACGCAAGATAACTTACCAGTCCTAATTTCTTAAGTTGACTGTTCAACGAAATGATAAACATTAAAAAAAGAAAAATTTTTATAATTTGATTGAATATTAAATGATTGAAAATAAAAAAAACCAATTTTAAAAGATTAAAAGAATAAAGCTTATTTTTAAAATGATCATTAGATAAAAAATCTGGGCATCATAGAATTTGATTAACAATCAGTAAGATTATACATTTAAAGATTCAAATTTAAAAGATTGTAAAAATGCCTTTGACTGACATCTTATTGGGGACGGATGTCACGCTCCCTACAAATTGACTTGATTATAATTCAATCATGAAGGATTAGTACAAAATACGTAAGATGTTTAAAATCGATTTTCTTTAAGGCTGCTAAAAATTTCCAATTGTCTTGGAAATAAAAAAAAACCAATAAAATAATTTTAAGCCTCTATTTAGTTGTCAGTATGACAGTCGGACCAACTTCGGTCAGCTTTTGGTCAGCGCTTTCTAAGCAAGCTTGTAATATCATTTTATTTACCTTTGTTTTTTCCTTAATATAATAATGAAGCACGTTAACATATATCACAATTATTAGAGATGGCGCAAGAATAAAGAATAAAAAAAGTGGGAGATTTGAATCCTCAAGTTTCTGACCAATGGTCATTTTTTTCTATCGGTCACGCGACAGTCATGTGACGGTCACATTTTTCGTTCACATTACTACCTGTCACGTGTTCTTCAAGTCAGAATCCAATGACATGAATGTCTTTTACTTTTGTTCCTTAATTAATAGACCCCAGCAGAACTACAGCTAACTGCCGACCAACGAGTTCAGTATTTGCTGTAGCTATTTATTAAGTTGCCCTCTGGTCCCATCCAATATGATAACATTTATACAGTACCGGACATAAATGCTGTTTACTTTTTTAAAGGTTATACATGTGATTTTTCTATACCGTCTTATAGAAAATCACATAGCATTTATGTCCGGTACTGTATCTTCCTAGAATGAAATCAGTATTTATTCTAATTGATATTGATTTAATATTATTTTTTATTTTTAAAAAAATTTTAAATGCAGATAACATTCTAATAAATTTATTTATTGTAATCTAATATTAATTACATTTACTTTAAAATTAATAATAATAAACGATTTAAATATTAAGGCTGGGCTGAAGTCAGAAAGTTTCCCGGAGTTGACTTTGACCGTATTGAGTTTATGTGTTTTGTTTTTACACTACATGCTTGGATACGCCGACTTGGAATTGAGCTTCTTTATTAACATTTATACCTAATAAAAATGATAATGATGGATGAATATATGTATTTGAAGTTATTTTCAGGTATTATATTAATTAATGTTAAATGAGTATCATCATTTTCATTTATTCTAACTGCAATAGTCATTAAAGTATAAGGCATTGTGAAGTGATACACTATGTTTACATGACATACATATATTACCCGTACACACTCATACACAAATTACTCACCAAAATCAGAGAATAGAGATGTAAATAGAAGAATCACTGATGTGGGAGCGCTTGGACAGAAATTTATGTTTATGAAGATTTCCGAAGGATGGCAGGGCAGTCAAGAAAGAGCAGTAAAACCTTGGATTCGAACTAGGAGAGAGTATAGGAAGGCAGAGTCAGTTGAGCGCGCTCCCCTCCTTTGCAAGAGAAACAATTATAAATTCAATGCGATGGACTGATGCTCAAGATCCAAAAAATTTTCTAAGTTCTCTGGGGTACTTATTCTACGTGTATATGTAGAATAAATGCAACTTAAGATATTAATTTAATTCTCTATCGATTCCGCTTAACTATTTTTTTAATTGTTTAATTTATTTAAATAATATATTTGAAAGTTTATTTATCTATCTCAAAAAACAATACTTGACAGAATAAGAAAAAAATAAAGTACAGTTTTCAAGCAGAAAGAACTGCAATTTGAATCATGATTTAGAATTTATTTTCAATATACACTTCAAGTACAATCCGTAACTCAGCGGAAACATGCATAACTATAAAGCCAAAGGTCACAGATTGAAATGTCAGATGAAACTTTTTTTTATTTTATTTCTTTACTTATTTATATGAGAAATTAATGTTTAAAAAAAATTTATAATATTCATTTTGAATCGAAATAAGCTAAAACATAAATCGTAATTTAGAATTTATCTTAAATAATAATTTTAAATGGAATCCATAGCTCAGCAGAACATGTATGACTATAGAGCCAGCGTTCGCCAGTTCGAAACTTGTATAAAACTTTCTTTTTATATAAATGGAATTATTTAAATGGAATATTATTTAATGTTTATTTCCTGCAAAAAAATTCTCGCTCTATATGTGAGCACAAATATATTACACCAGTTAAGTATACCAAAAACTATAAATGTGTGCTACACGTCTCTATTTCACACACACGAAGAAGCAGCGCTATTGAAAACCAATAACGAAGTAAGCCCCTGTAGGTAAAAAAAAAAAGGTCAAGTAATAAAAACAACAATACGCAGTCATAAAAATTGTTATAAAGATAGGAATAGAAGTAGAAGAGGCTTCTTTACACAAATAATCTTATTTTCTCCTTGGTAAAAATTGAGGTAGATTTTATATCCGCGGAACTTGAAAATATTTTCGAAGCATACACGCACGCTCCGAGATTTATTTTTTATTCTAAGTTCCGTGGCACCCAGTCTTGAGACACAAAAATGTCAGAATTCAGTACATGTTTTTATATATACAGATCGATAGAGAATTCAATTCTCTGTCGATTAAACACAACTTGTTTATTGAGTTTTTGCGAATTTTTATATGCAAAAAAATGGCATAAAAAAAAGGTTTCAAGCATTGTTAGGTATTGGGAGATGCAGATTTACTTAAAAATGAATTTTTCAAATTTTTTAGATACTCAGAAGTATCGTTTTCACGATACAATGAAATATAATGTAATGATCCGAAATTTTTGTGTCTCAAGACTGGGTGCCACGGTACTTAGG